GGCTCTTGCTAGGGTTCGTGTTAGCAACATCGTCAGGTTTGAGCCCCGTGAGCTCACCTACTAGTTAAGGTTACGCTGACAAACCCTGTAAAGGCTTATCAGTTTAGGTAGGAATAAAAAATTTCATTTTCTTTTTCGTATACACTCGTAATTACAAAACTTCAATGTGATTATTATTTATAGTTTAAGTAGAGTAGTTACTTTAGATATGCCGATTGAAACTATTGGCAAGTCAACCTATTGTTCTTACAAAGTCGAAGGGGATTCCAAGTGTAAAATCGAAATAATCCATTTGAGACACGAACTTAAAGCGTTAAACTTTTCTTAAAGCTGTGTCTTAGAAGCCAGCGTCGGAGTACTTTTAATAGCCAACTGGACGCTAATAAACTGTTCGAGCTTGGACTCATGATGCTGCTCTTAATGAGCATTAGGTAGTCAGTCATAAGGGATATTTTTGAAGTTTTCCAAATTATATAATTTGAAGGGTAGAGTAGCCGTTGTAACTATACTGAGACCTTAAAACTCATATCTCAAGGTGGGCCGCGGCATTTACATTGTAGATGTCTATGGGCTCCGGTAACTATCCGGCATCTATGCAATAAAAAAAACGTAAATTTCATTAGAATATTAGAGATTAATTACAACTAGTGGTCCCCGCAGTAGTCGAAATTCGACTATAATTAATTGAAATTTTATGTTTGAACATTCTTATTTGTTCTATTGTCAAAGACTATTATTATATTATATTAATTATATATTCTATAAGCACAGATTTCGCCAAGACTACACTATAAACAAATAATGTTAAAGACAAACAATATTAATCTATTCTCAATTTGAGCACAGACTTTAAAGAATAACAAAAGCTTCACGTTGCTTATATGGGTAGACGAGCTCACAGCCCACCTGGTGTTAAGTGGTTACTGGAGCCCATAGACATCTACAACGTAAATGCACCACCCATCTTGAGATATATTTTCTAAGGTCTCAAATATAGTTACAACGGCTGCCCCGCCCTTCAAAACGAAACGCATTACTGATTCACAGCAGAAATAGGTGGGTGGGGGTGGTGGTACCTACCCGTGCGGACTCACAAGAGGTCCTACCACCATTAAACTTAATCTAAATTACTCTTATGGACGATTTGTCGGTGACCACAAATACTGTATGTGTTCGAAATGTCAGAAATAATTTAATGACAATTAAAATTGCGAGGTTAAACCATTAAAGTAGATTTAATTGTTATCGTAGATGTTTATTATTACGTCCAACAGTAATGCATTTCAGTAACTACTTCCGGCGGCATATACAATTACAGTATTATGCTTTCCACATTATTTACGTAATGTAAGCGTAATCTGACTTAAGATGGCTTTTTCTTGGCATACTAATTTATCATCGACTAGCCAATGCATGTAGCTTCACTAGCATTAATGAATGAATTCCTGTTCGTTAGTCTCGCTAAAACTCGAGAACGGCTGGACCGGTTTGGCTAATTTTGGTCTTGAATTATTTGTGAACGTCCCGAAAAGGTTTAAAAGGTAGATCAATATGAAAATGCTTGGAATTAAATAAAAATAACAATTTTGTTTTTCCTTTAACGTGTCCCCCGTCGGACGGATTCCTTTTATTTGTTTTAAGTTTATTTTATACAAAAGTTTTGGTATTTTATTTATCGATTGAGGCACTACGAAGTCTGCCGGGTCATCTAGTGAAGAATAAAATAACATCAATGAAAGGTGCCTTATGCCTTTGTCTATGACCCTTGGTAATGTACACACAATTTCATTTTGATCGGTTGAGTAGTTCAGACGTGAAAGCGTAACAAACAGACAAGCCCCATATTACATTTATAATATTAACTTAATTATTTGGATTACGCTAGTAACATGTTTCAGAGATATAACGATTTACATTGAATTTAAATTAAATTAGATAACTCATTGTTGGTAATTTCTCGTTAAAGATTCATTTTAAATGGACGCCATCTATAGTAATTATTTCATTAGGTAGAGTCAAATCTATATATATAAAAATGAATTGCTGTTCGTTAGCTCTATATCAGGTTCTCCACTACCAGACCATTCCAATAGTCAAAATCAATATTCTATTTCTACCTGTAAGCCCGTTGTAAACAATATAATTAAACCTTTGCTTACAACAAACATTATAAAAATATTCAGTGATGAACTAGGGAAAAATATGGGTGTAGCGCTGAATGATCTGTGTTCGGGACAATCTGTCATAAATTATTGTATGCCAGGGGCTTCATGTACCCACATCCTTAATAGAATTTTCAATGTGACTCATTGCTCAAACACAACTATAATTATAATGATTGGGAGAAGGGGAAATGCAGATATAAGAGATATAAAATATCAAACAAATCAATTATTAACACTACAGGTGAAAAAGATCATCATGTTTGCATTTCCATTTATTCAGAGTATGCCAGCGGAAAACAAAATGAGACATAGTATTAATGATTTTATGCAAACAATTTCAAATGTAAATAATTATTATGTCATGACACCATGCAAGTCACAAAATATATTTTACACTATTGACATTAATTGCATGATAAAAAATAAATGTATTAGTATGACAAAACCTAACAAATACTATTTAGGTAGCTACAATTTTAGACAAGTAGCAAACTCGCTACATTATTTTTTACACATTTATCTAGCCATGAATTTGGCTAATCAACCTACTGCTTCTTTTGAGCAGGAAAAAAATATGACATCTATTAATTTGGAATCCGTTCCAAGTAATTTAAATTAAATACTAAGACAACAGAGTTTACCTCTTGCAGTAAATATGATTTATTTGGACACAGCCCATCAACAAATACTGTTTCTTTNGCTGGGTGTACAGCTTTTCAACAAGATCCCACAAAACGTTCAACTACTACCTGTTCATAGATTTAAGAAAACTGTTAAGGAACGTTTGTGCAACAAGGCATATTATAAAGTTAAGGATTTTTTACTAGATGACACTACGTGGGAATGAGGCGTTCGCTCCTGGCCTTTTCATTTTTCATTATTATTATTATTTATTTGAATTGTATTTTTTTGACTTGTTTTTTTGTATACTGTAAATATGTTTTCTTGTTTTAAAAAAAAAAAAGAAAATAGTTGAGAAAATACAAAAAAAAAAAACCCCGCTGAGTTTGTTTCGCCGGTTCTTCTCAGGACTGTGGCTTTTTTTGGAACCGGTGGTAGAGTTAACATTTTCTTTTACATTTTGACATTCAACAAGTGTGTTTTTGATGACATCCAAGTTGAAATAAATGATTTTGAATTTTAATTTGAATTTGAATTAGTCTCGCTAAAACTCGAGAACGGCTGGACCGATTTGGCTAATTTTGGTCTTGAATTATTTGTGGAAGTCCAGGGAAGGTTTAAAAGGTAGATAAATATAAAAATTCTCGGAATGAAATAAAGTTTCTTTCTTTTATTTATCGATTACTACGAGGCACTACGAAGTCTGCCGAGTCAGCTAATAATCATATTATTATAATAAATTACGTGAATTAATAGTAAATTGCCTGAGAACAATAACACAATGAAAACGGTTTATTTGTATCTTACAGTTTTTATTTCCTTTGGTTTATATTATTTTTTTAAATTTTCCGTTCATTAATTTGATCCTCCGTCCTTGAATTGTAAAATAGAATGGTCAATTGTTTCACATGGGTCATTGAGCTCACAAGGGACGTCTTTAAGGCGTCTCAAAGTCTCGAATACAATAGATATTATTATATAGGTACAGTACTCTTCAATCGAGAATCCATGATTCCTAATATTTTAATTTATGTTTGAAGGCGTAACGTGATAGGATAGTCGATGGTAATGTTTTTTGTCACAAAACAACTATGTTTGCATTCCGATTTGATATTTAATTGTACAATCCAATTTAAACTTTTACTGGTGGTAGGGCCTCTTGTGAGTCCACACGGGTAGGTATCACCGCCCCGCCTATTTCTGCCGTGAAGCAGTAATGCGTTCCAGTTTGAAGGGTGCGGCAGCCGTTGTAACTGTACTGAGACCTTTAGAACTTATATCTCAAGGTGGGTGGCGGCATTTACGTTGTAGACGTGTATGGGCTCCAATAACCACTTAACACCAGGTGGGCTGTGAGCTCGTCCAAAAATATAAGCAATAAAAAATAAAAAAAAACAACGCTCTCGTGTCTGGAGGCGACCAGATTGTAATTTCCATGGACTCAGGTAACCACTTAACATTGTCATCGGCCGTTAATGTTTGTCCGACATCCAAATTTCACTTCAAAGAAGTGTGAAGTTTGACACTTGCTTTTGTTTGACAAGTGCTTACAATATGTCATTGTGACGTAATCGACATCTGTCACAATGAGATTGTCGAACGAAATGTTTTGCATCAGTGAGCTAAGGTTTTTATTTTATTTTATAGTTGCGGATTTTTTGTTTTTTTATTGTATACTAGCGACCCGCCCTCGCTTCGCTTCGGAAACTGTAATTTATTATTGATTTACCCACTATTTAATGGATGTTATTATACATATAAACCTTCCTCTTCAATCACTCTATCTATTAAAAAAAACCGCATTAAAATCCGTTGCGTAACTTTAAAGATTTAAGAATACATAGGGATATAGGGACAGAGAAAGCGACTTTGTTTTATACTATGTAGTGATATATTGCATTGCCTGTACCAGACTAGACTGTAATAATCGATAGAACGGTCTATTGACACTTCTATTGATGTTTCACGTCTGAATATCTCTATTTGCAACGAGCTGAAATACTTTTGTATGAAATAAGTTTGTCAAACCACACATATACTACTTAACTTACTTGTGGTGGGACAAATTATTTTCAATAGTAGGACAGCTATAAAATATATTGTCTTAAAGCTTAAGTCGCATAGCTGAGTTCAGATGAACATTTAGCAGCATTTGGTTTCTTCGTTCTCTTGATCATCAATTAAAGTAAATAATAAAATATACTTCTCTTCCAGAATGTAAGATCAGCGTGTGACTTCGTCAAGACACAAATATGTACTGTGGCCCTTTCACTGACGCTCTTCAACTGCGCGCGTCTACCGAAAGAGGCATTCAAGTATGGCGCTGTTCCGTACCTGGTGGTCTACACATTCTGGCTTCTGGCCGTTGGGCTGCCAACGACTTTGCTGGAGCTCGCCATGGGACAGCTTAGTCAGCAAGATCCGGTGGGAGTTTGGAGAGCTGTTCCTATATTAAGAGGTGATACTGCATTGCCGAATATCTATATATTAATACGTGAAGTAAAAACTTTGTATCCCTTTTTACGAAAATTGCGCGGACGGAGGAGTATGAAATTTTCCACACTTATAGAGAATATAGAGAAGAAGTGCACAATGCTAATATTTTTTTTAAATAATGCATAATAGATACATTAAATCAATAAAGAAAACATCACACACACTACAATGTATTAAAAACACACACGCGTGAATACTATTTGTTTATTGTAAAACTTTTTTTATTGCTTTCTGCGGTCAAATTGAGAATAGATTAAATATTGTTTGTCTTATTAATATTTGTCTAAAGTGCGGTCTTAGCGAAGTCTGTGATTATAGAAGTATAATAATCTTTGACAATAGAATTATAATAGTGTACAAACATATAATTTAAATTAATTATAGTCGAATTTCGACTACCAGGGGAGGACTAGTACAAATAAAGAGTTCTACGTTCAATATTAGTTTAGTACGATTTTTGATTGATTATTAAATCATTACAATTGACAAGAACCAGCAGTGTATTATGTATTATTTATGTTAAAAAATATCATAAATTTCAGTACTTTTATAGTACACGTATTTTTTTATAATATTGTATGAGAGGTGTCGTCATACGACTTACATTTCGATGTTAGCAAAACAACGCAATCATTATTCACATATGTTTACAAGATTTTACATTTAAAATTGTAAGTGTAATTTTACAAATTTGTCGGGCTTTTTTGGCCTCTCGACTACAGGCTATATCAATGTGTGTAGAGAGCGCTACCAATGTCTCTAGGTACATCAATCCGTCAGATTTTCGAGTCGTAATAAAAATCAACATTTATTTATAATCGGGACGCAATTTTACCGCACATTATAATATTGTGGCCGTGATTTACGTTGATCTTACTGTGAGCTTGGCACTAAATCTCCTTTTCATGTTTGGACCCTCCAATCCGATTACAACCTCTCACGCTGAGTGAATAGGGAGAGGCGACCTGAAACACATACATTATTCATCTAATTTTGATTATTTTATTACGAAGATGATCTTACGATTTCTAATAGAGAAAACATTTTATTTTTCTCACAAATCAGTTTGGCGGCAATAATTTCATTCATGACAGAATATCGAATATTGAATTTTATTCAATGTTAATATTTAATGTTATTTCAGGTGTGGGTCATCTAAAAGTTTTGACTTCGTATATATGCTGTGTTTATTACATGATGTACGTAGCTTTGGCCCTGGCCTTCCTCGTTTGGATAGGGAAAGGCACTTTTCCGCTGAGAGACTGTACTAGGCTTCAAATGACGCCGGTAGGTAATTTATATATTTTGTTCTCATATATGACTCTTTCAATAACAGGCCAATGTAACGTTCATAATATATGATTTGAATTGTTTTTGTAGAATTGTTTATTGCTTGGACTCAATGTCTCAAAACGGGGACTCTCGTGTTGTAACTCGGTTATGGATCTAACATAGGGTTGGTGCTTAACTACAATTTTGAGCTAATATCAGGGCTGTCCGGCATAGAATTTTTTAATTAATTACTACTTCATCTCAAACTTTTTCACCTTATTTATGTATAAATATTTTCTGTTTCCAGAACGGATACGAAAACAAAATGAACGCATCTGAATGTTTCAAGTAAGTCGTGTTAAATTTATTAAATTATTTATTCAACTGAAACATTAGTGGGTTCGCGTGAGTTGAGATATTTAACATTAAATCTGACACTATCTTTTTTATTGTTTGTGTAGGCGACGTGTAGACGAGCCTACCTGATGGTGAGTGGTTACCGTCGTCCATGGACATCAGCAATGCTACGGGCACACCCAAGCCGCTGCCTACCGCACATTTTATTACAGTTGATTCTCTAGTTCTGCTAAAGTGGAAACTGATAACAACGAATCGATTTTCTTCCAACAATAAAATGCGGAAATCTATCAAGATAGTGTTAGATTTGCCGGTTGCTCTACCAAATATCGACACGTGTCAATTATATCATTCTCCTACCCTTCTCCCAGTCACCTGGGGTCGGGGCAACATGTTTTCTCCTTCCATATTCCTCTATCATATACCATTTCTTCACGCACTCCCCTCTTAGACATATCGTCTTTAACGTAATCCATCCATTTCTTCTTAGGTCCTCTTCCTCTATACCCTTCCACATTCATAGTTAGTACTCTCTTACCAACCTCATTTTCATTTCGTCTCATCACATGTCCATACCATCCCAAACGCGCAGTTCTCAGCTTCTCTGTCACAGGTGCCACATTTCAAACTTCATCTAACATATTCATTCCGTATTCTATCCGTTCTCGTAACACAACACATCCATCGCCACATTCGCATCACGGCTGCATGCAATCACCAAATATCGACACGTGTCAATATCGAATTAATTTAAATCTATTGTCATGGAGCAGTGGCTCAGTGGTGTGGATTGGGAGAGGCCTATGACTAGCAGTGGACGGCTGTAGGCTGATGATGATGATGATGATGATGTCATGGAACAGCTAATGTAAGCGGCTTATTGCATTTACCGTCTAAGCGCCAACAGGATACGAATCGTGAACGCGTATTGAAATATTTCAAATGAATTCATGAATTTTACAAAAATGGGTGTGCTCCCAACATCATTATATTATTATAAATAATTCTGTAACATATTGCATATCATATCTCAAAGTAGGTGGTGCCATTACTTTGTAGATGTCTAGGGCCTCCTGTAACCACTTAATGTCAGATGAGCCGTGAGCTCGTCCACCCACCTAAGGAATAAAAATAAAAATAAACTTTAAATTATTGAAAGTATTTCAAATACTTCGGAATATCAGCTGCTGTTTTAGAAACAAAATCAATTGTCATAACAAACTCCAGATTACCAATAGGTACTCTATGAAAAATGATGGGATAGCATTTGAAATTTGTTTACGTATTTATTGCGTTAACAAACCTTAAATTCCAAATAAATTAAAACTAATACACGGTTTTCTTTGGTATTTACGTGTCGTAGGCATACTTAAAACTATTATATATTTATGGCTTAATCTCGTGTCTTTTATTTTCAACTTATTACTCGTCAACATTTCAATGTTATGCTAAACTACCCTCCACTTTTTTTAAATATATTTTCTTATTATATTTTTAATTTTCATAAATAAAATTCGTCAAATCTAAGCGGAGTGTGACGTCATCTATACATTAATTAATTAGTACATTCGATTTATTTTTTTGTTTCGCAAAGTGTATTTTTATTACACGGTGCTATTTCTTCACCGTGAAATTCATTCCCACAGATAATACACAAATTAGTTATAGATAAGCAACTCAAGCACTACACAAAAATGTTTACGGGCCTCGGCCACTAGATGGCTTCGATTCGATTAGTTTCTCAATGCTCCTGTAGACCGATCCTATATTTTATTTTTAATGAAATATTTTGTAAATTTTCTATTACAAAAAAGACTCGTATGATTTATAATTTTTTTATTTTCTATGTTTAGTTATACAATAATTAAATGCCTTAACTTTAACAACATATAAGTTTAGGGGCATCCGGTATAAGATGTCGCTAGTTGCGACATCCACCTGCGGTTTTCGAAAACCGGCACAATCTCATCGCTCGATACGAATGCACCGGCCGTCTCATTCCACAGGTCACGACAACGTCTCAAACACTTTAAAAAAAAACTGAATTACATTTATGTTGCCCTCAAAAGAATATAATACATACTTTATCTATGTCTACAATTGGCTAAGTTGATTTTGTCTCTATTTTCAGATCAACATTCTTGTCACCTTTCACGGACTATCCACAATATTTGGGAATCATGGCGATACTTATCTTCATTTTATGGTTTTTCTTGCCTATACTGTGAGTGTTGCGATATGACGAACATAATAATATAATAGACTACATTTTTAGAACTCGAAGCCATTTTGATGAATGAAAACATCCGCGCTGTGCAATTATTTTAATCTGTAGTAATCGTGAGAGAATCCGCAAAGATTAGATCAATACCTCCTTAAATTATAATTTAATAATATTAAATTTTTTGTCACAATATTTCAAGGTAGTGCGTTGAACGCGACAAAAAACAGTTTACGTAAAATAACTCAACTGTGAATACACAAAAAAAGCAATTAAGTAATTTTATTAGTTGAACTGGCAGAGATGCAAAATAAGTTATTGTTTGATTTAAAAAATGATATTCTGAGATTTTAAAATATCAAATTATGTATATTTCAACGCATCTAATTGTTCTCTCGTCACAGTCAGACGAGTAAATTCCATGTCTTAACTATGTTTTTGTATATTCGTATCTATATTTTCAACTTGGGTTGGCATTTATTGGCAAGATATTTTATTGCTTAACTTTCGATTTCAAACGCCAAGACGATTGCTAAGATTACATAGAAATAATCATCTAGAAATAAACATCTCACACCAAAAGGTAATCTTTTTGCCATTTTTTAAAATAAATATTCACTAGATTCATTTATTCATTAGCTAGATATTACTCAGATGGGTGGACGAGCTCACAGCCCACCTGATGTTAAGTGGTCACTAGAGCCCATAGACATCTACAACGTAAATGCGCCACCCACCTTGAGATATAAGTTCTAAGGTCTCAGTATAGTTACAACGGCTACCCCGCCCTTCAAACCGAAACGCATTTACTGCTTCACGGCAGAAAATAGGCGGGGTGGTGGTACCTACCCGTGCGGACTCACAAGAGGTACCAATAGTAAAACCTTGACTGTTTCGAGTGAAATACTTTAACATCTCACGTGACCTCAACGATTATTAAGTTACTATTGAAACGCTCACCTTTCCAGATTATACCGTCTTCGAAAAACGCTTAAAGTAGCTATGACTGTGTTAGTGCCATCTGTCGTACTATTTGCTGCATTGCTAGCTACGTTTCTGGCCAAGAGTGACGTGTTGAATGCCATGTTCGAATCTTGCGAGCAATGGACGCCGTTATCAGAGCCGTACATTTGGCATAGCGCTTTAGTGCAGGCGTTGCTGTCCACGCACATATCTGGAGGCTACCTAATCAGTTCCGGGGGAACAATTTATAGGCATTCGGATGTGCGATGGTAAGTTATTATTTATTTTTCGGTATAATAATAAGGGAAAATAGGGGGTAAGAAGGGAAAAGAAGGGGTAAGAAAGGGAAAAGAGAATGACAGACAAAAGTAATATGGCGAATATTGGCAAAAGGATTGAAAAAGCAAAGCCTTAAAAAGGTCTCAGATAATTTTTAATTATTATACTACAGAAGATTTGGATACATGGATTTTTAAAGACAATAAAAGTGCAAAAAGGAATAGTGTTACTTTATGTGCCACGATCCCAATTCTACAATAATAAGTGTAAAAAAAACTTATAAAAGTATAATTTATTAAAAAAAAATGCGTCAAATATTATTTGAAGCAATAAAGAGCAAGTAAACAATAAGTTAAGAACCGGTGAAAGCAAACTTAACATGTGGTTACCGCAGGTCATAAAAATTACAAAATGAGTATCACCACTCACCTTCAGACATGAGGTCCAAATCTCAATTGTATTATATAACGCCTATCCACCCTTCAAACTGGAAAGCATTGAGGCCACGCAACATGATGGTGGTACAATATAGCATTTAGTGACAGTTTCAATAAAGTTCAGAAATAAGTGTCTAACTTATGTGAAGTCACGTGTTTATTCGTATTTCTTTGACTGACTCGATGGTGCAGATTTTATCACCCCTGACTGCCGGGCGAAGGGTCGTGGGTTCGATACCCACATCCGCAACATCTGTAATTTAGATGTATATCGAGGGGTGAAGGACTATTTGGTTTAAGCGACATCTAGGAGGATATTATTGAGTTATATACATATTCGGAATCAGTGAATTTTTCCCTGTCGAATAATGCCGGACTCGATGATTTAATTGATTACTGGTGATAGGACGTCNCCTGACTGCCGGGCGAAGGGTCGTGGGTTCGATACCCACATCCGCAACATCTGTAATTTAGATGTATATCGAGGGGTGAAGGACTATTTGGTTTAAGCGACATCTAGGAGGATATTATTGAGTTATATACATATTCGGAATCAGTGAATTTTTCCCTGTCGAATAATGCCGGACTCGATGATTTAATTGATTACTGGTGATAGGACGTCCTGTGAGTCCGCACGGGTAGGTACCCTGCCTGTTTCTGCCGTGAAGCAATAATGCGTTTCGGTTTGAAAGATGGGGCAGCCGTTGTAACTATACTGAGACCTTAGAACTCATATCTCAAGGTAGATAGCGGCATTTACGTTGTAGATGTCTATGGGCTCCGGTAACCATTTACCGCTTACGACGAAGGGTTCGACGAGTGAATTAACCCATAGACTGAGTTTCTCGCCGGATCTTCTCAGTGGGTCGCGTTTCCGATCCGGTGGTAGATTCTGCGAAGCACGGCTCTGGCTAGGATTCGTGTTAGCAACGTCGTCAGTTTTGAGCCCCGTGAGCTCACCTACACGTTAGGGCGAAGCTGATATAGCCTCTCAAGGCTACCAACATAGGTAGAAAAAAAAAGGTTTTTATTATTATTTAGACTCGCAGAGACTTAGATTGCCTCTACGTATATTTGAAGCGGGAAAACTGAATCCTGAATACATTTACAGGACGTCAGCATGCGTTATCATGACCAGTATATTCTCGGGTTGGCTTTGGGTGCTTCTCTGGGAGTCGATCGGTGCAGAAAGCAAGAAGAACACTGATTTTGTATCAATCCTCGTGTTAGTTTATCAGTCTTCTATATCAGAGAGGAGATCGAAGCAGTGGCCTTTGTTGGCTTATGGAGTTATATTCTTATCTGGTATCATCACTATGGTAATTATGTTTTTTTTTTCATTATACGCCGAAAAGCAAGTACTCTTAAAGCAAATCATTGTGTGATCACTTTCATAAGTTTTTGAATGGTTTTTGGTGTCGAGAATGCACGATTGTTTTTTACTATTGCCTTAGACACGTAGACAAAATTTAATTAATAGGTACAACGAATTTACAAAAAAAAATCACATTGTTGATGCCTATGAGCTCTGGCAACCACTTAATGTCCGGTAGGCCGTGAGATCGTTTAACCATATAGTATATGAATTAAAAACATTTTTTTTACATTGGTTATTATGCATTATGACCAAGCAATCTCTGAATTGATTCACTGGAATTTTACAGTAAAAAATATGTTTTACAAATGCATTATATACGACGGAAACTTAAAGTTATGTTTAAAGTCGTGATGGGTTATAGTTCTAACACAGATTTGTGTTTTATTGTAGATAAATTCATCGGATGTGATAATATAATATCTAAATACCTAATATAAGATTAACAACTTCTCTTTTGATTAGATTACAATAATGGACGCTACGTCCAACGTATTAACAAGCAACCTCAAAAAACCGCTTTGCTTACAGTAAGCACAGTCGGTAGTCTGGCGCTCCGTTTACAACGGGATTTTTGAATGGAACTTGGCGCCAGATTCTACCGAATCTGTGGATTTTGGTTGGTTAAAATAAAAGCTATGTTAGTTTTCCTGTAAATAACATTACCCAAGATGTGCATGATTAAAGTCGTCGTGGCCTAACGGATAAGACGTCCAGTGCATTCGTGTTGAGCGATGCAACGGTGTTCGAATCCCGCAGAAGGGTACTAATTTTTCTAATGAAATACGTACTTAATAAATGTTCACGATTGACTTCCACGGTGAAGAAATAACATTGTCTAATAAAAATCAAACCCGCAAAATTATAATTTGCGTAACTACTGGTGGTAGGACCTCTTGTGAGTCCGCACGGGTAGATACCACCATCATGCCTATTTCTACCGTGAAGCAGTAATGCGTTTCGGTTTGAAGCGTGGGGCAGCCGTTGTAACTATACTGAGACCTTAGAACTTATATCTCAAGGTGGGTGGCATATTTACGTTGTAGATTTCTATGGGCTCCAGTAACTACTTAACACCAGGTGGGCTGTAAGCTCGTCCACCCATCTAAGCAATAATAATAAAACATGTGAATTCCCGCAGGTTACCCTCCTGTTTCCTGTCTTCGACAAACTGCATCGTCTCACCGGTGACCACTGGAGGTTGTTCGCCAGTGCGTCCTCGGCTGTCGGTACAGCTTTCACCGTGGCAGTGTTGGCCCGAGGTCTCGAAGTCGCCACGATGCTGGACGATTTGGTCATTCCGCTGCTAACAACATTCACCACGGCCGTTGAAGTTGTCGGATTTGTTTTTATTTATGGTGAGTTAATCATGTCGTTCTGTGTATGTGTGTTATTTTTATTGCTTACCCAAAGACATTTTTTTTTGGTAAAATTTTTCCTTATTATGAAAGGCAAGGGGATCTAAGCCCATACAGCCTTGTCTGTTCTATATAATTTACCCATAGACATCAACAACGTAAATGCCCCCCACATATACCTTCCATAGTTATTTCCATATTACAACGGTTGCCCCACTCTTCAAACTGGAACGCATCACTGCTTCGCGATCGAAGTAGACGAAATAGAGAGTGGTGGTACTTAGCTGTGCACAATTTCCAACTATATACTTGAAAAAGGGCAGTATATTTTATAATTTACACGTTTTAATATAAAAAAATACTAGTCTTAATTTGAGAGTATAAGCTCATGGTGAGCCATGAGCTATACCCTAGAGTTGAGTTTTATGGCGTTAAATGAACGTCAATGCTCATTTTAAGTGAAGTGAAGTGGAAGCTTAAAATGTATTGCCTAATGATTGCCTCACCCTTTAAACTGAAAAACGTCACTACCCCGGGGAAATAATTGGCAAAATACCGATACCTATCCGTGCGAGTTGATAATACACCCCCTGCCACCAGTAATACACGCTATTAATAAAATGTCGAGGATTCTCATTTGTATTATTACGATTATGGTATACGTTCTTATTTTATGTTATATGTAGGAGTCGTTGGTGAATACATGTATGATTTAGATTTCGTTACAAAAAATGGTATCCGCCCGTGGGATATGAACACCGGCATAGTTGCATCGCTTAATACGGACGTACTGAATATCTTATTATTTCTTAGGCCACGAAGACTTTTATTTTATACTAGTGGTCCCCCGGTAGTCGAAATTCGACTATAATTAACTGAAATTATAATTTTGTATATTATTATGATTCTATTGTCAATATACTTCTATAATCTCAGATTTCGCCAAGACTACACTTTAGACAAATATTAATAAAGACATACAATATTGAATCTATTCTCAATTTGGCCACAGACTATAAGTAATAAGAAAAATTTGACACTAAACTTGTATGCAGGCGACACACACGTCAAATACATGGTAGTGTAATTTTTTATGCATAATTAAAAAAAATATTAACATTCTGCACTCCTTCTCTATAATTATTCTCTATAAGTGTGGGGAATTTCATACTCCTCCATTAGCACAATTTTCGTAAAAAGGGGTCCAAGGTTGTTGCTTTGCGTATTAATATAATATAGATAATATAAAAAAATTAACTTTGAAGTATGTGATGATTTTTTCTTATCTTAGGTTGGTGCTACCTCACGATTGACATAGAGTTTCTCACTGGCATGAAACTACCCTGTTTCTGGATAGCGACGTGGTGGTGTACGCCTATCCTAGTGCTGGGTACCACTGGCTGGTGGCTCCGAGCTCTGCTCCGAGCCACTTGGGGCCAGGAGGAGACGCTGTGGCCTCTGGTCGGAGCTTTCGCAGGGATTCTCATAGTTATGATCGTCATCGCCGCCGTGGCCGTGGCTAAAGAAGAACAATTCAATTTAACTTCGGTTTGTGTTTAAATTGAGTTTCTTTATTTATTTATTTTTAGTTTAATAAAAGCCTAAATTACACAAAATATTGACGGACAGATACTGTAGAGAGAACATTAAGTGGTTATGATAAACATCTTATCTCACTGATGGTATAAGCGTGGATGGGACATCGTAGGTTATGATGCTTATGGACTAGTATAGTTTTACGAGGATCATCATAACCATGGGAATATTTTTATTTTTATCCTAGGACTAAAGGGACCAAGGTTCAGAATGGCTGGCTGACTTTATCACCCTGAACTAAAAATGTGACAAAAAGTAATTTAATTTACAAAAGTCCTTTGGTTGTAAGATTGACATATGTTAGTATTTTGGTATTTTCATTAATTGCCATCATTCACAGCCCACGAAACGACACCGTGGTTGTTTTTTTTTTTTCATTAATTTATAGAGCGGCAAACCTCATAGACCGAGGGCGGTGAACCTTGTAATACGTCATCGGTCATCAACGCACATAATTCTATTTGAGCGAACGTTCCAGAAAATATCGTCGGCCTTCAAGTCGTCGCGGCTGTGGGGTCCCGAGGAGCCGATAGCGCGGTACGTTTGGATGTCGCAGCGTTACCTCAACGACACGCTCAGCAGCACCAATGAAGTCAGCTACGAACGGCCCGACAGCGACGCCGCCCACAACAAATACAAAGAAAACTGGCTTAGCCACAAAGATAAATACCAAAAAGAATACGATTATTACTCGAGGATCGTCGCGACGAAAACTCCAAGCAAGGCCTCCAAAGAGACATACCCAGCGCACACTATCCCAAGAAGCGAAACGAAGGTTCCAGAAGAGAAGTTTCGGTCGCCCAACATATGCATCGCTGAGGCCCAAATCGGAGGCCCCACGAATTGCAACTGCAACAGACATTTCAAACTAAACGTACCTAAAGATCTAAGGAACAATGAAGTTACGACGAGCTTATGAACAACGAACGCGACCTAGTCCTGTAATATTAATTTATTTATCTAATTTATATGTACACGTGCAATATAGAATAACGTTGTAGGCCATTGAACATAAGAAGACATCGATATTAATACAAACAAATGTTAATAGATTGCATTCATCGAACAAGTATAGTTTAATGTACAAAACGAAGTTAATGATAATAAAAACTTTAATTAATCTAATGTGTAACGTGATTCATTGAGAAACAAAATCCTCTAATTAATACGAACCGGCTTAGAACATCTCGGTCTACAAAGATACTTTATTGCTCTAAGCTTGAACATCAGTACTCTCTGTTTTAACCGCATTCTATAGTGCTCCGAGGATTGGCTTGAGAAGATCCCTTCACTTCTATTTAGCATCGCACGACCTTAAAAATACAAACAGTTTGGATCCAAATACCTATTTCGCCACTTACCATCCGGCTTTCAATGAATCTCCCCCTCCACGATGTTTTAGGAGTATTGAAAGATGCTCTTTTCAAAAATAAGTTTTAAAAAGTTCAAAAGCTGTTGGCAGCGGTGTGCAGTTTTATTTCTTACATTACCAATGTCTATGGGCGACAGTCATAACTCACCATAAAGTCGATTACGTTTTTAGTGAATATAAAGTCGCATGAAGTACATATTCAACAAAATTATCTATTTAACCTCATTGTTATGTTTGCGACGGTATCAATTATCCTTATTCCGAATATATTGTACTTAATTGATAATAAAAAGATAATTTATATCCAAAACTAACTTCTTACTTGTATTAATTAGAAAGTACAAGAGAAACAAAGTTACATCCGGGAAAATAGGCGGATGATAATCGTTCGCGCAGTGAGAGCAAACGGTCAGATGGGGAAAAAATGAGAAANCATTGTTATGTTTGCGACGGTATCAATTATCCTTATTCCGAATATATTGTACTTAATTGATAATAAAAAGATAATTTATATCCAAAACTAACTTCTTACTTGTATTAATTAGAAAGTACAAGAGAAACAAAGTTACATCCGGGAAAATAGGCGGATGATAATCGTTCGCGCAGTGAGAGCAAACGGTCAGATGGGGAAAAAATGAGAAATGTCCAAAGTTTTTAACATAAATCTTATGGAAACTCTGTAAAAGTATTAGTTGCGAGGACACTTCCTCTTTCTCTTCTCAGTTTCCAAGTGGGGTATTAACTTGTTTTGAAACAGACTTGTGACAGTCACTTTTTTGTGGTCGAAATTGTTTTTTGAGTATTAACTGAGGCTTCGCCTTTATCTATACTAATATTATAAAGCTGAAGAGTTTGTTTGGTAATCTCAGGAAATACTGGTCCGATTTGAAAAATTCAATGTTAGATAGCCCATTTATTGAGAAAGGCTATAGGCTATATAACATCACGCTAAGATCAATACAAGCGGAGCACTAATAAAGAATGTTTCAAAATCGGTTTTTTTTTTTCATTTTGAGAGCTTACGCTGCATGAGCTGCAGAAACGGTTAAAGTTTCGCTATAATAATGTATGACAGAATTGTTCCCCTTTAAAAGATCTAAAAAAAAGTCCGTAACAGCATATATCTATATGTCAAGGTTGGCTCACTTTAACGTTTTATATGTTAACCAAATTTGTTCTAAAATAAAGCATTATTTGTGAACTATTCCACGTAGACGAAGTCGCGGGCAAAAGCTAGTCAAGAATAAAATCTTAGTTATCTGATTTCAAACTTATAAATTAAGGTATATTTAATGGTATTTAATTACATTTAGAATTAAACTCGAATGATTGTTTCGCCATTGTCGACCGAACAAAAGACATGGTCTACTTAACTTAACATAATTATTTTCCACTGATATACCTTCGAAGGCAGATGCACGAGTAGGGACTTGATGCTCACCCAATCTTTAGGTAATGCGAGAAACACCAACGTCCCAAGAAAATTACGGGAGACTAAGCATATTTGAAGGTCAGCCGATCGGTACTAATTTCCTACCTATTCACACAGTCTTCCAGGATACCTACCAGTGAGACTTCCACCCTGCCTCTGAAGATGGATGATGGAACTCACATTAAGATGTCTATAGGCACTATGTATGCAGCCGTTTCTCCTCTTCTATGTTTAAATCGTGGCGTCTAAAAATATTCTGCAAAAAATAAAGGAATAAATAATAATAATAATAATAAATATTTACTAACAATTACGCCACGTTAACTGGTCCCGTGATAAGTTCGTAAAGAACTTGTGTTACAGGTACCAGATAACGGATATAAATGTAAGATTTTTATTATACACATACATATATTTAATATACATCCATAACCCTGGAAAAGACATTTATATTTATCATACAAATATCTTCCCTTGGCAGGATTCGAACCCGCGACCCCCTTGTGTAGTGACCATGTCACTTACCACTACACCAGACGGTCGTTAAATACGTTAAATACGGAATATAAAAAAACAACAACATACTCTTTACTTACTATTATTAAATACTGCTAAAATATTTGCAATTTCATTGTTTTGATACAAACTTTTTAATGTTATCAATATATCGTGCTGTACTAGTGAACATCCCTAATCCGAAACTCGAAATCCAATATCAAAATTTACCGTAAATATAGGTATTTAATTTAAAAGCAATTGATTAAACGCTTCAACCATTATTAGTAGCCTCGCTTAGTTAGCAATTTAATGATAAGGCACGCGTGGAAAGCCATTACAGGTTTCATTTAATTAAATCACGGACCCCTTAATGAAAATAATAAACTTTATCACGGCTGTATAGCCTTAACGTGGAATATAAAATTAAGGGTGGGTTTAAGACGCTTGTTTTTCTATTGAATAACTCACCTTGGGTAGGAGGACATAACGAGAAAATGCTTCACGTATCACGAATGATTGATATCTTAATAATGCTGTGACAAAATCTACCTCATAAATGGGGCTATTTGAGGTACTAAATCTTGAAAAGCGTGGCGTCTAAAGCGTTATTTATTCACTGAACTACTCAGTATCGTAAGAGTTACGAACGTCTAATTTCATGGAAAATACTAAAGGCTTATAACAAGACTTTACTGGTGGTAGGACCTCTTGTGAGTCCGCACGGGTAAGTACCACTACCCCGCCTATTTCTGCCGTTAAGCAGTAATGCGTTTCGGTTTGAAGGGTGGGACAGCCGTTGTAACTAAACTGAGACCTTAGAACTTATATCTCAAGATGGGTAGCACACTTACGTTGTAGATGTCTATAGGCTCCAGGTGGTAAATATACGAAAAGTATATGTTTTAAAAACAACGTATGTTATAATTATTTAAGTGTATTCCAGAGTTCCTTATATATTTTTATAGCAAAGAAAACAAGCTCATAGACATCGCAACGTATGTACTTAGTCTGGCCATAAATACTGTTACAATGAAAAATAAACAAAATATTACATTTGAATTTGGAATCTGTCATTTTTATATGATTGCTCATTGAGTTTTCTCATTTTGGCGCTAATACATTTTACAATATTTTGCGATATTAAAATGGAGTGAGGTGATAAAGAGAACCGAATCGCTGTGATTGCATTACACAAAGTAGTTATGGAGCCAAATGCAATTTTTAAAATTCTCCATACGCTTGGTATTAGTAAAATGTTTGTGTACCGGGCTATTAATAGGTGCAATGAAACCTCCTCTGTTTGTGACAGAAAAAGATCTGGCCGTCCACGTAGCGTTCGTACGAAAAAGGTGGTCAAAGCAGTAAGGGAAACAATTCGAAGAAATCCTGTCCGAAAGCAAAAGATTTTATCTCGGGAGATGAAAATAGCACCTAGAATCATGTCGCGTATTTTAAAAGATGACTTAGGACTTGCAGCCTATAAGAGACGTACTGGTCATTTCTTAACTGATAATTTAAAAGAGAATAGGGTGGTAAAATCGTAACAACTACTGAAGCGGTACGCAAAGGGAGTCATAGAAAATTTTTGTTTACGGATGAGAAAATGTTTATAATTGAGCAACATTTTAACAAACAAAATGACCGTATTTATGCTCAAAGCTCTAAGGAAGCTTCCCAATTAGTCGACAGAGTGCAACGTGGGCAATATCCGCCTTCAGTAATGGTATGGTGGGATATTAGCTATGAAGGAGTGACTGAACGATACTTTTGTGAAAAAGGTATCAAAGCATCGGCACAAGTGTATCAAGATACCATTCTTGAGAAGGTAGTGAAGCCCCTTAACAACACCATGTTCAATAATCAAGAATGGTCCTTCCAGCAAGACTCGGCCCAGGTCATAAAGCTCGGTCTACGCAGTCTTGGTTGGAAACGAACGTTTCGGACTACATCAGAGCTGAAGACTGGCCGTCTTCTAGTCCCGATCTTAATCCGCTAGATTATGATTTACGGTCAGTTTTAGAGAGTACGGCTTGTTCTAAACGCCATGATAATTTGGAGTTCCTAAAGCAATCCGTACGATTGGCAGTGAAAATTTTTCCCATAGAAAGAGTGCGTGCTTCTATAATTGATAACTGGCCTCAACGTTTAAAGGACTGTATTGCAGCCAATGGAGACCACTTCGAATAAGCTTTTTATACTTGAAATTGTTTTATATTTATGTATTAAACTAACACACTATAAAAGTAATAAATGTTATTTGCAATAGAATTTTTTTTTCCTTTGTCTCAGTATTTGTGGCAAGATTAGATATATATACGAAGGTAAAAGTTTCAATTCTATCATGACTAGATGATCCTTCGTATAATAATTTTAACGTAAGCATCTGAATAACGTGGATACGTTTTAAAAAGAATCGATAAAGGAATCCAACCGAATTAATACACTTGAATTGAATTCTGAACTTTACGAGACGACAAAGAGGAATTCAGGGAATCATTGAAATCGATTCATGATTAGAGCTAAGCGTTAAACCGATAAAGTTTCCCGGCAAATAAATTGAATGATAATTTGTTCGGTGTTCGGGACATAACGAAAAATCGCCTTCGAACGACTCCGACAAGATAGATAGGCGGAGATAGCGCAGCGATTCTCGCCCATAGCGACTTTCAATCGACGAGTATCAATTGGCGAAAACATATCTCTTTTACAAAGAGCTAGGTACTGAAAAAACTTAAATGTTTTATTATGTAATATGATCTTAAGTTTTTACTTTTCGATTTTGAAACGTTATTTTAAACCGCCCTAGTTACCACCTAATTGATC